TCTACAGGTTTCCACTCAGCAGTAGCCTGGGGAGTCTTGAGTCAGAACTTCCATGGAGTGTCATCTGTTGTCTTCATGGCTATAGGCTTTGTCTCGTGCTAACGTTATCTATGGTTAGTAGAAGTTGAAATATGGCTTCTCAGGTTATATAAAGAATACTTCAGATCTGTAAAATACATGTATCTGGAACATAGTTAACACAATCAGATATATAAAAAGTTGGTGCTGTTTAGACTTCATGCTAATAGTCCTACTTGCTATGAAGAAACTTTTCAGCATCTGTATTGCAGACCATAATGCCTAGAATGAGAGAGAGAGAGAGAGAGAGAGAGAGAGAGAGAGAGAGAGAAAGGAGAGGTTCCTGCCATCGAGGCAGGTGGGGGATGGTTGAGGGGAAGGGAAACTGGGGACATTGGTGTTAGGAAATTACACTGGTGGAGAGATGGGTGTTGAAACATTGTATAACAAATTCAATCATGAGCAGCTTTGTAATGCCCTATCATATGTGATTCAATAAAGTTAAATATTTAATTTAATTTAAAAAAAAGAAAGGAACAATTTGGAGTCCATTTCATCTAGTCCACGGTGCCATCTTTGGCTTGTACAATAAAATCTTAGGGAGAAAACAGAATCTTAAGTTGGAGATAGAGATAGGAGATTCTTGTGGAATAAAAATGTCAGTAAGGAAAAAGGCGCAAGGATAGAGTTAATAAAACCAAATAAAGAGAAAATTTCAGAAGAGGATGGTTAAGAACATCAAATGCAACATAAAGGATGAATGCAGGGGCTGGAGCAATAGCACAGCAGGTATGGTATTTGCCTTGCACATGACCTACCAGTGTTTCATTCCCAGCATTTCATATGGTCCCCTGGACCCTGCCAGGAGTGATTCCTGAGTGCAGAGCCAGGAATAACCCCTGTGCATCGCAGGGTGTGACCCAAAAATAAAAAAAAAATGATTGCAATAGAGTCTGAAATGTGTCTGCCTCTTCGTCCTGGCCACAAGCAATTTAAAATGGTACTTCCACATTTGAGGACCAAATGGGAGGAAGGCAAAAATACCTTATTTTTGAAAAAGCCAGCCAGGAAAGAGAAGGCAACTAAAGAACATGAATGATAGCATTAAAATGAGAAAGAGTTGAGTCATTTTTTTTGTTTTTGTTATATTTCAATGTTGAACCCAGAAAAGTAAATTATAAAATAAATGGGTGTTAGAGTTGTATCATTATGAATCTGAAGACTTGGAATAAAATAAGTCACAGACTATATGCTTTCGGCTTGAGTAGACCCCTACCTTGAGGGAAGACAAGGTGACCACTTGTCTCTGTGGCATGGTGTTTGACGTATCAAATGGGAAACTTTATGGTCCAGAGCAACTAAAAGTCTAGGGCTAGAAGTTCCATAGTCAAAATTATGGATAGGAAAGTTCAGGAGTATGTATCCCTGTGACATTTACTCATTTCAGAAGGAGGGAGCCCACTGAGATTAGAAATATATATAAAATGGGAAATGAGATAAAGAGGAATTTGGAGGTCATCAAAGTTCAAGAATTTCTGGGTAATATTTAAGGTTTGTTTCAAATTTGAAGTTGAAGTAATCTATGTACCTGGATTATTTTTACCTCCAGCTATCCTATCAGAGATCTGGTAAGTCCAGCAATTTCCTGAGTCAGGAAGAATCAGATTATACCATAGCTCATTCTTGGATCTAATTCCTTTAATACATTTATATGTATCTGGGGAATGAAATTCAACAAACGAAGAAAGAAAACTAACCAAAACAAAGCAAGATCCAAGAACAGTTTATATTGCTCAGTTTATACATGACTGATTGAGATATTTCTTCAGATGCATGTGAACAATTTTGTTTCCCTGTGGGAAAATTTGCTCAACCTTAGGAATGAGAAATAGTTTAAGAACATAAAGCAAGTAGGTGAGGTCTGAATTACTTCTGTTTGCTCTCTGAATTGCTACATTATGAAGTCTAAGCCAAGCCTGAGAATTCCAAAGTAGGATGGGGTACTGTGGAAATGGACAAGATGAGCTCTCAGAGATGTGTGTCATAGATCACAGAAGTTTCACAGCTGTCAGTCATACCTGTCATTTACACTTGTCCAAACCAGAAATTTTGCCCCTACCACTTGAAAGGCGATGAGAAGGAAATAACATATAGCAACTACAGACATGGTGGTCAAGTCCTTTTAACTATACCTTGTGATAAATATATAACAGTACTCTGTCGTTGAACATTTAAAGAGTGTCAAATAAGATGAGATCTGTGGAGAAATACTTGTAGATTTACTAAATAGTTTCAATATTCTGGTACTTTAGAATTTTCTTCTGACATTTACTTATGTATGCATTTATTTCTTTATTTCCACTGGGGATCACAGACATTGGGACTATCAGCATCATCCTGGTTGCGAAGGGTGATTTGACAGCTTCATGCTTTCTTTAGAGACTTTTATTCTGCTTTGGTTTGATTGTTTTGGCCACACATGGCAGTGCTCAGGGCTTTCTCCTGACTCTGGACTCAGGGATGATGTCAGGAGGTACTTAATGGGCCATATACTATGTTGGGGATTGAACCAGATTGGCTGCATGCAAGGCACGTTTCTTAACCCCTGCCTGTACTATTTCTCTGATTCCATGGAAACTTTTTGAATCTCTGAACCCTCTCTGGAACCTGACAAATATTTTTTTCATAACCTGAATTTGTAAACTTCAAATTAAATGAAAATGGCCTGAAAATACATCTCATTTTAAATCAAGAACATATCTGTAAAACAGTGTTTGTGGTCTTTTATACAATGAAGATAATTTAATTGATTGTCTATATACTTGTACAATAACATTTATACCCGACACCCCTCCAGTGCTGAGAAAAACACTGTCTTACAAGGCAAATGTCCTTCCACTGGGACACATCCCAGTCCTTATACCAACATTGTAATGAAGTTGTCACTTTATGTAGGTAATTTAAAAAAGCAATTCAGAGGCTGGAGTGATATTATAGCAGGTAGGAACTTGTCATGCACCCGGCCCCTGACCTGGATTTGATTCCTGGGTAACTCACATTATTTTATTTCAAGTCTACAAAACAAATACATTCTAAGATGCTGTATTTGTTATTATGCTACCCTTAACTTTTCAAGTTTACACATTGGAAAAAGTCCTTACTTAGTAAATGATAGTCCTAGGGGAATTACATAACTTCACTGTTGTTGACAATTCCAAAACACTCTTTGTATAACAAGGTCAATGATCTTTCAAAGATTGTATTTGACATTAGTATCTCAAGGATGTAACTTTTATCAACTTGCCCTAGGGGAAACACTTTCTAAAAATTAATTTAATAAGATATCAACAAAGTTAAGACCACAACAGTTCAGGCATTCTTCAGACATATATACATTTACTAATATTCCAAATACAGTAAGGAAAGCATCTAATGATTCCAAGTTATATCCTTAAGTTTAAAGTATTTGATTACTTAGTTAGCATATTTCCAAAAATCATTCTTTGCACATAATTAAATGATTTAATTTTAAATTCCTATAGAAACTAAAAATAGCCAGTTTGAGGATTAAAACTTTGGGGTTAAACTTGCTTCTAAGAACATGGGGCTTAATGGAATGAACTAGACTTAGAATATGTCAGAAAGCAAATTGTTGCTTTGTGAAAGAATAGATATCTCAGTTATATCATATTTTTTACCCCTGATAAAAGAAATAAAAATATTTTTATGGTTTAACCATTAGTAGAATTTTTAGATGCATCCTTATATCTAATATTGAATGATTATTATATTTTAATATTTATCATATTCTCTTTCCAGCTATATAAACATGTCTAATGACAAATATTTCATGTCTTTCCAAAAGAAAACAAACCGGGTTGTGTATATCACATCTATATAAGGAAATGAGCATGGCTTATATTGAGCTTTAAATAGTGTTTATTCATGCTTATAACAAGAAAACAATTAACCAATGTAAAGTTCAGATGATTACATATGCCTTGGAATTTTGCTTTGTCTTCACTCTGAAGACGATGCAATTACACTTGTTATGTAATAAAACTTTTATGTATCCCTGTGCTGTGGCCTATTAAGTATTGAGAAGACTTAAAATTTTTGACTGTTTGACATGGAAGCTCTGTTCATCTACATTAAGTGACTAGTACATGTGTTTATCACAAAAATGTGACTCTTCATAGTAGAACTATGTATATCAACAGAGATCAATGTATCAGCAATTAGTCTGAATCATCAGGAATAGGATGGTTTTGCCAATACCAAAGTTACAGTCTATTCTTTTCTTCATCATGTTCAGTAGACTAAGCTCCGAGAAAATTGCATTGATTCTTTGACCTCCGGGGATATGTTCAGTTCATCTTGCTCCCTTAAAAAAAAAAGCAGCTGGGCGCTGGGAACAAATGTGACTCAATGCATTTTCGCAGTGGAAAAGAAAGGAGAACTACAAGGCTAGACTCTCTTTAAAAAGTCTCTACTTTGGCTTTTCAAAGGTCTTTTGTTTTCCCTTAGGAAAAAAATTCTAGGTATTGACATGAAAAGTATTTGACTGTTACAAAAGAAAGCCCAAAAAATATTAGTGATGTTTTAGCGATGAATTTCACCTCTCCATCCCCTTTTGTAAATAACAGTCCTTTTCATCCCGGACTTTGATGCTCCGGCGTTTCAGCCGGGTCTGACTTCGACCACAAGATGGCACTGACCTGCAAACAAAGAAAAACCGTGCATTGACTTTTCCAAAACCTTCCAAAATTGCCGGAGTCCAGGACCGTGCGGGACGGGGACTTACTTTTCCCCCGGTCGCGGTGCGTCTGCCTGTGTCCGACATCGCGTGCTTTAGATTTTAGTTGCTTTTCTTTCCAGAATTCCTAGGCCACGCACCTCCGAGGTGCAGATCCAAGGTGAGGTGTTTGGGTGGGGGAGCTCGCGCGCGGGGCGCCGTCACGTGATGCTGGGATGAGGTGGAGTTCGGCTTTAAGGGGGCGTCTCTTCCTATCTTCCCCGATCTCTAGTCTGAGCCAGAGCAATCGCAGCGAATCTCTATCTCCACCGCTCCCTTCCAGCGCAGCTCCCCGCATTATTAAAGGAGTGCAAAAGAGGGTAAGTTTCAACTTTATCCCTTCTCCAGGGACTTTTCTGGGGAGGTGGATGGGGGAGATCTCACGTGGATGCGACCAGGGCCGAGAGAGGCAGAACCCGCCTGCGAGTGTTCGGACAGTTTCCGAATCCCTGGGAAACTGGCACGGGGCGTGCGGCTCTGCATTTCGGTTCGGTGTTCTGGACGGGTTAGCGAGGCTCGCTGCTCCGAAGGATTGGAAAAGGATTCTGGAACACCTGCTCCCAGGGAGATGGGGTCGCTGGTTGGTATCCTGGAGTTGGTCCAGGGCTGCTGCAGGGGGCTTTGGTGGGGGAGAGGGGGCGATGGGGAGTTCGTGGTCTGCATTCCCTTTGCAAGGTGCTGGAGTTCTAGGCGGGGTGCACCCTCTCGCTCCTCTCTCTCCGATGGTTCTGCAGCTCGCTGGAGTTTGAGCCGAGGCAGCAGCGCAGCGTGGGTCCGGGGCAGACAGGACTGAGTGAGTGCGTGGCGCGTCTCCCACCTTCTTCTTGACTTAAGTGCCGTGCCGGCCCGTTGCGGAGGTTTTTGCTGGACCTCGGGGCACGCGCGCCGGCTCCCCTCTCCCACCCTAGCTGTTAGCTCGTCGCTTCCAGGGCGGAAAGAAAGCCCCGGTCCCTCCCTTCCATCCCCTTCCAGTCTGTCGCTTGCACCGCTGAACCCAAGTTCTGACCTGTCACAGAACTCTTGAGCTGCTTTTAAGACGGTGGTCCAAGAAGCGGAGTGGGCGAGGTTAGTGCATCGCTGGAGGTGGAAGCGGTTTAAGAGAGTTTTGTAGATCCCTGGGGAGACTGGGGGAGAAATCGGGTATTTTAAGGACTAATGCTGGGCTAGGGAGAGAAAGAAGATTGAGTTTGGATCTTGTTGTGGGTTGCTTGGTTTTGTGGTTTGTCTCTTTCACGGGATAGAGACCTTCCCTAATGTGTGTGTGTGTGTGTGTGTGTGTGTGTGTGTGTGTGTGTGTATGTTGCTAAGGACTGGGAAGGGGGTCTTGGCGGGGGAATTTACCTATTAACACAACAGGGAAACTTAAGAAAAGGTGGGCGTGTAAGTGTGCAGAGAAGAATTTTGATGGAACACAATCTCATTTCGTTCCGGACCTCTTGGTGCACAAAATAAACCTAGAAAACGGGGAAGAAGTGTGTATTGATGTTCTAAAGAAAAAAAGATGGGGGGTACTCTTACGTTTGCCATGCCCACCCCGATGCTGTTGAAATCAGGTTATTGGTGTCACACAGTGGGGACTGGGGAGCAGTTTGCCTGTTTCTGGACAGAAGGGAACATTAGCTGTCAGCTCCAAGGCTGGGCTCCTTCTTTGATGCCGAAAGGGAGCAGGAAGTTCTCTGACCAGTTCTCTGAATCTCTTTCTTGGTGAGTGGCTATTACTGTATTAGTCTTCGCTTGTTTTTGAAGCAGCTCTCTGGGAGAGGATAGAAACCGAGAATTATGTAACTCCTGTAGATAAAGTAGCAGTAACTTTGGAGGCTGAATCTAACAGCCTGGCATTTCATTTTCAAGACAAGTGAGATGAACAGCCATTCTGTGTCCATGAAAAAAAAAATCTGAAGCAGGTTATCACCAGAAAGCTGTACTTTCTGGTGGGAAACAGCATTTGTTTACAACAAGTATTGAAAGGCGAGCATTTAATTGGAAACAAGGATATTTCCTCTCTGGCAGGGGGCTAATTAGCAAAGGAATGATATATTGTACTGTCTCTCTTGGGTCTTTAATGCACGTGATGGCTATATTGAGATTCAACAATCTTGAAGTTTTGCACTGTCTGTCACTGCACTACTTATTTTAGAAATGTCACCAGAATAGTAAATAACATTATTTTCTTTTGCAAAGATGATGTATGCTAATTCTTTCTTTCCATAGTATTATTTAACGACAGCTTTTCTTTCTTGAAATGATAGCCAGGCAGACTGAAAATACACTTTTTACCAGTGCAAAACACTTACCCATCTGGAATATCTACTAAATGTGAACTTTGCTAAATTAACCTCGGACTATGAAAAGTGCTATGCCTCTGTTAAATATATTTATCAAATATAATTTCAAAGGTCATAGAATTTTAGTGTATTTACTTAAATTTCTCTGAGAGGAAGCTCTTTGTAGCTCATATACTAAGGTATGAATATATTCATAGTTGATTATGAATTCAATTATTATAAGTAAGTTATAAACCTTTATTAAATATATTAATTCTTCATAAGTATGGGAGCATGTTGAAGTAACTTAGGAGATATCAAACTTCATTTTTATTTCCACTGCACACTTCTATTCTGTTCTTCTATTGCCCTTACCTGGGTTATTGTATTAGCCTCAAAATCTCCATTTTTCTCTTTTGTGTCTTCAGCCTGTTTAAAACATCAACCAAAATCATTTTAAAATAAAAGCGAGGTAGCATTATGCACTTGCCGCACTTTCCATGGGTCCCTCACCTCTGAGTACAAGTTTAATAATGTCCCAGGAACGAGACTTTCCTTCACAGTGATCCCTTCACTTGACTATTTATAATAAATTTTCTAGTACTTACTCCCTTGTATGCCAGTTCTCATCACAGTTTAGGCACTAACTCTACTCCAGAGTTGAGGATGTTAGTTTTTTTCTTTCCACATGGAATATAGTTATTGAGTTCTCTGTATGACTCCCTCACTCACCATTCCCAGATCTAAACTCACATGCCATCCATTGTCTGAGGCTGTCAGAGGATTTCCCTACCACCCAGTAACAAATGAAACCCCCCAGTGGTACCAGTTTCCTTTTTCTGCTTTACTCTTCTCTTCAGCACTTAATATCATCTGACATACCGTACCATTTACTAATTTATTTTTTCTATCTCTGCCTTTCTCTACCAGAAAACTCAATGAAGAGGTACCCTATATGTCTACTAAAACATTGCCTCGTGTGAAATAGGTACTCAGAAATACTTACTGTATGAGTGAATTTGTCTCAAAACCTCCATTTTTTCCTATTACATGCAATAGAACACTTCCCCCATATACCCAACCCACTAAAATGACTGTGTTCCTCAGAATTCATTTTACAGGTAAGAGGAATGTGATAGAATTAAACTAGTGATGTTAAGATAAACTCACAGAGGAACCAAGTTACAAGATTCTAACATGTGTGTATGATGTCAACCTTAAAGAGGTTTTATTAAAGTTGAGAGGAGACAACTAACTCTTTGAAAGATGGGTAAATCTTGGACTGATGATAAGACAGGACACTAAGCAAGAGTAATGGGAGAAGGAAACTAAAAAGGGCCATTTGTCTTGGACTATCAAGAGCTGAAATGGAGCTTTCTTATTTGCGATTGAAATGCAGAAAGAGGAATAATGTAGAGGGGTAGAAATCAGGCTCAGAAATGTTCTCAGTTCTAGTTCATACCTTACATAATCTCAGATTAGGATACTAATTCACCTGGTAGGAGATGGTGGCAGGAAGAAGTCACAAGATGAACTTTGCTAACATGCTAGTTTTATTTTAAATCATGAAGAAAAAAATCATAGTTGATAAATAATGTGAACTATCTTGATATGCAAACTGAATATAAGGCATGAAATGCAGTTTTTTTGGATTTTAAGAGAGGAGTTTCCAAATAAGTTTTAGATTCTTACCTAATCCTTGCTGGTTTTTCTGGCTTTTAGACACAGACCAACCTCTGTCAGACTTTAGCATTCTTGAGAAACAAAGTGTGATTATCGTATAAGTCTAGGAGTTTTACTACTTGTGCAGAGAGGGTCTTATTTTTAATAGCACTCACACTCAAAATTACCACACTCTCATTTTTTAGTCTAAATGCTTTTATTGTTACTTTATGATATCATCTTAACTTTTTAATCTTCAGTTTTATAGTCAATTTGTGGTTTTGCAATTAAAAAAAAGACATAGTCTAGAAAGTTAAAAACACTCAAGAAAAGGTTCAGTAGAGGTGACACTTGAAAGGTAAATACATTTTTGTTCATTAACTTTTTATGTCCTTTCCAAGGGAAGTAAATATCCATGATTTGCTTTATTGTTCTCGTATAAGAAAGAAATGAAATGGCCCTTCTTAACACAGACACAATGGCTTGTTGATTAACATAAATCTCATTGCATGTGTTTATTTTGTCATTTAGGGGAAGTCAGAATATTTTTAGAAGGAGCTTTTGATCAAGCAAGACTTGTTTTCTGGATTATATTGGTTAAAAAAGAGTATCTAGTAAAATGTAGTAAGAGACCAAAATTCGTACTAAAATTCAGATCCCTGCATTGTATCTCTCTCGATAGTCCAGTGCAGTGTTTATCAATCTTTTTTTCTGACTATGTGTCTCTCCCAACCCCTAATCTTGTTTCCTCCCAAAGCCTCCCCTTCCTACCAATTGACCCCTTAATCTCATGCTGTGGCCTCATTTATGCTCTTTCACCTCATTTATGCTCTTGCCCCTTAGAGTATCCTGGAGTCTCTTCAAGGAGGGCATGTGGTAGTTAAGAAATGCTCATCTAGGGAAAGGATATTTATATGAAATACTTTAGAAATTCTTTGAAAGTTCTGAAATATTAAAAAAAATGCTTCAGAGTTAGTTTGATTTCTCCTTCATGATGCAAGAATCCTTGAGTCTTTCATCAGTAGTTTTAAACTTTTGTGTATGAAATACTTGACAGTTTTGTGGATAGTTTATTCAATTTTATTAAATATTATTGCTTGTGAAATTTGTCTGATTTTTGTCCCAAACTCATGATGCTTAGGGCTGACTCCTCACTCTGTGCTAAGGGATCATTCTTGGCAGTACTTGGGGGACCATATGAGGTGCTGGGCATAGAGCCTGGGTAGGCTGTTTGCCAAGCAAGAACCCTAAATACTTTATTATCTCTTTGATTCTCTGTTTTATTGTTAAAACACACTTCTTTTGTTCCTACTCTGTGTAGTTAGACATAATATATCCAGCTCTGAAACCATGTATACCCATTCAAATACGAGAAGATATGTAATCCATTTCTATTAAGCTTTCTTCTGAGTTAAACATTGTTCATTCAGCTGTCCTTCATATGACTATGTTTTGATTTTTCACTATATTGACCTTCTCTTTTTGAATAGACTTGCATTAAATAATACCTGTCTTTCATTGTTTGATGAACAACTTGGCCTCTACACAAATTCTTTCTTTTCTCTAGTAAGTGGAAAAATTGGGTAAATTGTTGCTGGTTTTTTTTTTTTTTTGCTTTATTTGCCTCAGATAATTTCCTTACGTTTTAAATTGTACAGAAATTTGTGTTGCACATTCATAATCTTAAAATGCTTAAAAATGTGTGGATAGTACTATTTATATAGATTTAGGCATGTGATCTACACACAATTTACTAATCTACACATCGCTAGATTTTGCTGAAACCAAATGTGCCAAGTAAGTCCAGTGAAAAATATTGTGAGAATTTTGAATGTAAGCACTGTTTCTGCTATTTTAAAGATGTTTATACAGCTTACCTTTTGTTTATTTATTTCAGTGTCTTCTCTTTAAGCAGTATTATGAGTCAGAATTCATTTTGACTGCCCTCAATAAAATTAGTAATGTATTTGGTCATTTTCTCTTCACAGATTGTTCAGTTCAAGGAAATGAAGAATTCAGAATAATTTTGACAAATGGATTCCAATATGAAAATAAGAATACAATGAACATTTGACCTGCTTTGAAGACACATACTGCCCATTTGTCTAAAGTAATCTGTAACAGTCTGACTAATCAAAATGAATTCAACTTTATTTTCTCAGGTAGAAAATCATTCAATATACTATAATTTTTCCGAGAAGAATTCCCAGTTTCTGGCTTTTGAAAATGATGACTGTCACCTGCCATTGGCCATGATATTTACCTTAGCTTTGGCTTATGGAGCTGTGATCATTCTCGGGGTCTCTGGAAACCTGGCCTTGATCATAATCATCTTGAAGCAAAAGGAGATGAGAAACGTTACGAACATCCTGATTGTGAACCTTTCCTTCTCAGACTTGCTTGTTGCCATCATGTGTCTCCCCTTTACATTTGTTTACACATTAATGGACCACTGGGTTTTTGGTGAGGCCATGTGTAAATTGAATCCCTTTGTGCAATGTGTTTCAATCACTGTGTCCATTTTCTCTCTGGTTCTCATTGCTGTGGAACGACATCAGCTTATTATTAATCCACGGGGGTGGAGACCAAATAATAGACACGCTTATGTAGGCATTGCTGTCATTTGGTTCCTTGCTGTGGCCTCTTCTCTACCCTTCGTGATCTATCAAGAATTGACGGATGAGCCTTTCCAAAATGTCACACTCGAAGCATTCAAGGACAAATATGTGTGCTATGATAAATTTCCGTCAGACTCTCATAGGTTGTCTTACACCACTCTCCTCTTGGTGCTGCAGTATTTCGGCCCGCTCTGTTTTATATTTATTTGCTACTTCAAGGTAAGAAAACACTTGCCCCCTCACATTTTCACTTGCATTTTGAAGAATTCCTCAATTAATGAGTCCTTCATTGAACTCTTATTTTATTTTCTCTGTAGATATACATCAGATTAAAAAGGAGAAACAACATGATGGACAAGATGAGAGACAATAAGTACAGGTCCAGTGAAACCAAAAGAATCAACATTATGCTGCTGTCTATTGTTGTAGCATTTGCCGTCTGCTGGTTGCCGCTAACCATCTTTAACACTGTGTTCGATTGGAATCATCAGATCATTGCCACGTGCAACCATAATCTCTTGTTCCTGCTCTGCCACCTCACAGCAATGATATCCACCTGTGTTAACCCTATATTTTATGGCTTTCTAAACAAAAACTTCCAGAGAGACCTGCAGTTCTTCTTTAACTTTTGTGATTTCCGGTCTCGGGATGATGACTATGAGACAATTGCTATGTCAACCATGCACACGGATGTGTCAAAGACTTCTTTAAAACAAGGAAGCCCAGTTGCATTTAAAAAAATCAACACCGATGATAATGAAAAGATCTGAACTGCTTGTATCAAATGGTCCAGATGACTTACATGTTAAAGCAAGCACAAACTGCAATGTACTTTTATTACCTATCTCTCAAAGAATGGGGTTAAAACATTTTAAAGAGATGAAGATTTTTGGTCTTGCTTTTTACTGCTTTTATAGTAGTTGTCCAAATTACATTTGAAACAAATGGTTGGGCTTTGAAATCTTCGGGCAATTTGACCATACATCTTTGAAGTGCTTTTTGTAAACATGCATATAATATAAATGCTTTTATATGTATTTATTGGAATGAAATTTCTTTAAAGTATTGCTAGTAACGGACTTTAGAAACACTATACCCAAAACTCATTGAGTTGGGCCATCTTGATTAATATAGATTGCACAATCCTCATGAGGTGGTAGATATGATTTCAATCTTATGCAGAAGTGGCAATATACAGAAGTACAGAAGCAGCATTCAAAATATAGAACTAGAGTCTTCCTGCAGTCTCTGTCCATAGTCTGAAGTCATTCTGGAATGATTCTTATTAAAAAACATTTTTAAGAGAGGATTGCTTTTGTTCCTAATTGACTGCCACTTAAATAAAGATGCATAAGGGATATTTCTCAGCTGTGTATATCATGGGGAATTGAACCACCCATAATAATTAGGAAGAAAAGCATCTACCTAACTTTAAAATTAGTTTGGTACCTGACAAAGGATTTAAGAGCAGTAGTCTGATTGGTAAATTAAGATTGCTGCAGGTAGTTGAATTATATTTGATTTGATGGTTAAAAGGTTTTCTTTAGTCTCTTGAGTATCTGTCAATCTTTCTAGTAAATATATACATGTAATTCAAAAGGTACATGTAATTTATAGTAGTTAAATCACAAAAATGTATTTTCCATATGTCAGTGTTCATAAGATCACTCATTTTCTTAACTCTTAATGTCAAACTTTCACAGAAAGACAAGATATAATGTTGAATGATCACCATCACTACCAGGTATAAATATCAGAAAACAGAACAATAATCCATGTTAACATGTACAAACTTGTGTGCCTTGTGGTGTCATAAATATTGCACTATAAACAGTATGAGTAGTTATGTCATGTTGATATACTTAATTTTGTGTACCCTATAATCATGATTGAGCTCCATAATCTTCTGGAGGAAAGCTACTTTAAAGAACAAGATATATCTTTGATGTATTATACAAAGCATTGAATGTGTTTGAGTTTAGAAGGGCAACACTTCTTTATTAAAATTGTTTTTGCTTTTTCTGAGGATCTATTGCATTACTTTCTTCATTTTCTTTCTTAAAAACATAGTCTCAAATCTTTCCTCTCATAATATTCCCACAGTTTCCTCTATCTGCTTGCTAATGAAAATTTTTCTACTAATCACAGTTGGCCCAGTTCCCTCCTTTGCTTTTTGAAGCTTCTAGAAGCAAAGACTGTTCAACCTGATTAGGATGTTCAACACAATACCAAGAAGTACTTAGAAGTTCTTCAAAAAAATATTTCTAAAATAAATGAATAAGACTAACCGTCCTTTTCCTTATTTGCAATCATATTTTCTTCACATACTGAAACTTACTTGGAATCCTAATAAGTTCTTTACTAAGGAGATCTCTTCTTATATAAGATCCTCTTATAAGATCTCTTCTCATTCCCTTCTACAGTAAGCAAAAAAAGACATTTTAAATTTTAAAAATTGGTAGAGGGTGCTCATAAAGCCTAGGCACTGTTCCAGTGAATGGGAATCAAGCAGTCAGTGATTTACAATGACTCAGGGATGCAGTGCTGCTTGGCCCTGGGAGATAATCTGAGATAGCCCAGATGTACTAGGGAGGAAGGATTGCACACTACAACAGGGCTGAATTTCAGAGAAACACATTGTACCAGGGATCAAAACAGGGTTTAATTGCATGCAAAGCAAGGGCCTTTTTAACCCCAGCCTGACATTTTAGATTTTGAGATATTGTAGATTAGTCTTATAAGTCAAACAAATATCAATCTTTTCATGTTAAATGCTAATATGAATTCATAATGCCAAAATGACCTTTAGTTAATTAAAAGAAGGTAAAAACAATTTTTATTATTTTTTCACTTTATTTAAACACCAGGGCTCACAAAGCTGTTCAAAATACTGTTATTGACTTTCAATATTCCAGCACCAATCCCACCATCCCACCACCTGAGTGACTTTCCCGCCACCATTGTTCCCATTTTCCCACCCAATCCCTAAGCCTGCCCCTTAACAGGCACACACTCTTTTGTTTTATATTGCTGGTTACAACCAAATGATTAAAAGAAATATCAAAAATACTTAAGTAAAAGAAAGTATGTGGACATTGTTATCTCCCACCACTGGGTTATTAAGACTCAGAAGAAGACTTAAAATCAACTTCTAATGTGTGTTACAAAATATCTTTTAAAAAACCTGGAATTCTTAACATCTCATGTTTTTCTGAATTATTGAACTAATGAACAGTTTTGTCCTTTTCTATTTACGTGTGTGTGTGGGGGGGGGGGGTGTGATGCTGGGGATTATACCCAGTGTCTCACCTGGTAACCAAGGGCTCTACTACGAAACAATATCCCCAGACCTGTCTTTAAGTTTTTAGATGCTATGGGGACATATGGTTTCTTGAGATGATCATTTCTAAGACTCTTGTAGTTCCATAGAATGCTGATTCTTGCTTTTACATTAAAAATAAAGTTATTGTATTTATTCAAAGATGTATAGGAACTAGTAGTAAAGTCTAAGAGCAGCAAAAGACACATTGCAATGAAAAATATCAATGTTCCTGTTAAACTGTGAAACATTGCGTTATCTGACACTGAAGAACACAAATCAATAATTCAGTACAAGAGCACAGTTGTATTGTAACTTATATAAACTTAGAATAAAATAAGAATAAATATTTTGACCAATTCATATGTTCCAAGTACTATATCATGTACTAAAGTACTTGTGAGGATATATAACATGTGTAACATTATGGCCTCTTCACATAACAGGATATTGAAGCTCAAGTTGAAAATTTTGAGCCCAACTCAGAGTAACAGATGGAGTAGAAATCAAACTGAGGTCCAGTATTACTAAAACAATCACTATGCTGAAACTCTGAGTTTTTGAAAACTTTTACTCTCTTAAAAGTTATAATATTGGGCATGAAAATAACACCTTTATGAATGTATCAGCCATTAGTAAAGGAATGAAGTAGAAGAGTTGAAGAAAATTGTCATTATAATCAGATATCTCTATTATTGTTTTTAATTTGAGATTTTTTTGTGATCAGAAAATTTATTATTCAGCTTGAAATTTTTTTCATTGAATCACCATGAGATAGTTACAAAGCTTTCATGTTTGAGTTTCAGTCATACAATGATCGAACAGCCATCCCTCCACAATACACATTTTCCACCACCAATCCCCCAAGTACCGCCCCTCCTCCATCCCAATCCTCCCCCTGCCTCTTGGCAGACAATTTTCCCCATACTCTCGCTCTACTTTTGAGCATTATGGTTTGCAATACAGACACTGAGAGACTATCACGTTTGGTCCTTTATCTACTTTCAGCACATATCTCTCATCCTGAGTGATCCCAACCACCATTGACTTAGTGATCACTTCTCTATTCCAGCTACCCTCTCCCTTGCTCATGAGGCAGGTCAAGGAGAGTAGACAAAAGGACCAGCAACATTTCTCCATAGTGGGAAGCCTGCCTCATGAATTTGATAATTCTACTCAAAAATAGAATTTAACTATTCATATTAGCTTTATTCACCGATTATTAACTGCATATTCTCACCTCCCTTTTTAATTCCAATGTTCCAAGAAAAAATAAATAAAATTTTATCATTTAAAAAAAGTCTTGCAGCCAGATGAATATTTGTCAGTGAAAGTATTTGTCCACACACAGTGAAGGTAGTGAAAAGAGATGGAATGAAGTTAGAACTGCAGAGATAACTGTCCTTGTGCTTGTCCTGCAATTCAGTGAGTTCAGGGACAGTGCTTCATTTATAGACACAGTTAGCATTGCCTTCTTCAGCAATCAAGGATACTGCTGAAAAATGTAGTTTGTCAGTGGGATATGAATTCTTTCAGTTCTTTTATTTTCTTTCCCTACTTTTTCTTTAGTACATGAAGCAGTATGTTGGATTTATGAGTCTGAGCTAATAAGAATGAGAACATAGCTTTCTAGGACAAATGAATAATGCCCGCATTTCTTTCACTTACCAACTCCTTTCTTAATCTCTGTGGTTTAAATATTTTGGAAAGATATTTTTATAACGGTTTTATTCTCATTAATATTTACTACCCGGGCTGGAGCGATAGCACAGTGGGTAGGGTGTTTGCCTTGCAAGCAGCCAACAAGGCCGACCCGAGTTCGATTCTTCCACCCCTCTTGGAGAGCCTGGCAAGTTACTGAGAGTATCTCGCCTGCACGGCAAAGCCTGGCAAGCTACCCGTGACGTATTCAATATGCCAAACACAGTAACATTTGTCACAATGGAAATGTTACTGGGCCCGCTCGAGCAAATCAATGAACAGTGAGAGGACAGTGATAGTGACAGTGATACTATTTACTACAGACTTTTTATAAAAGATATTACTTACTTAGTATTTGTCAATAGCTACCCTCTAAAATAGTGGTATTTTTTCCCTCAGTCTGTGAACAAAGATCCTGAGTGATAGAGAGGTTATGTGACTTATTATGTATCAAAGGGACAGCAAATGACAAAACTGAGATTCCAAACCAGGCAATTTGGCTCCTGAATCTTTAACATACAAACATGTTTTCTTTCTCTATTACAGAGACAATAGATCAGATTTCTGAAAAGAATCAGAACAAGGATTTTTGTCTTCTTTCTTATGAAACTTTGATTACTTTCTGAGAAAGACATAAATGGCAAGTAAAGTTGTTGATGAGGGTAAATAGAACTTCTGCCATAAGTCACACCTAAGTACTTGATTGATAGAATTACACAACGGTTCTTTCACCTAGCAATAGTATATTTTGTACTGTGTTTAGGGGCATATATTTTATATATAAGATATGTACTATACTTTGTATAGGATTACTTTTGTCCAAAGGCATAGGCTCTGAGTTTGATCTCTGGTCTCACAAATTCCTTCTTCTCCACCCCAAAGTATTGCAAGTTGGCCAGAGCAATAGGACAAGTAGGGTGTCTGCCTTACACCCCTTTGACCTGGGATCAATCTTTGGAAACCCATATGGTACCCTGATGAGGAGATTATCCGGTGCCAATGGAGTGGCTTATGGGTGTGGGCCCTGGGTCACCGGAGATTGGAGGGAAGCAGGTAGAGGATCTCTGCTCCTGGGTCCCATTGAGCCCAGAGTCTAAAAGTTTTGCATTACCTGGGTTCTGTGGGACTTCATTCATGCGTGAGACTCATCATGAGTGTCGGGAAAGCAGCCTGGATCATGGCGGCGGCTGGGTAGTGGAGGTCGGCTGCCAGGGCTGGGTCCCTTGGGACGGGGAGGGCTCTCACCCACCCCACTCTGGGGTGCCCAGATTGAAGACAGATAATCTCATCGGCTACCCTCCAGAGCTCATGGCTGCTTCTCCCAGAAGGGAACATAAAATGAGGCTCCCATAACCATGCCACCGGACTCCACGCCAGGCTGTTTTCACTCAGGTTGCCCCAAAGTCGGGTGGATGAGAGCCTTCCCGTCCCCAAAGGACCCAGCCCCGGCAGCTGACCTCCACTACCTAACCACTGCCACTGCAGGCCACTTTCTGGATACATCATAAGACACTTTCTACCTATTATCCATAATTACCACACCACATTTGATGGGGTTTAGAAGTAGGCAAGAAATCATAGAGAGAAATATATATGTATATATGTATGTACATATGAATCTATCTATCTATATCTCTATCTATCTATATGTCTATCTATCTTTATCTATCTCTATCTCTATCTATATCTATATCTGCCTCTCAGAGAGCCTGGCAAGCTACCGAGAGTATACTGCCTGCACGAGCAGAGCCTAGCAAGCTCCCCGTAGCATATTCAATAAGCCAAAAAACAGTAACGATAACAGGTCTCATTCCCCTGACTCTGAAAAAGCCTCCAATAGTTGGGAAAGATGAGTGAGGAGAGGCTGCTAAAATCTCAGGACTGGGAGAAATAGAGACGCTACTGGCGCACCTACTTGAGTAAATTAATGATCAATGGGATGACAGTGATACAATGATGGTACCCTGAGTACCACCAGAAATGATCTCTGAGTGCAGAGCCAGAAATA